ATGGGATATGTGCATTTCATCAAAGTATTCCTGAAATTAAATTTGGCAAGTCGTAATGCAACCTTTTCTAAAAGTTATACCTTGACTGAGAATGTTGCAAGTGCAAAGATTGAAAGCAGAAAGATCCTGGAAATGTTTTTGAACAGATATGGACTTTGCACTTTGTTTCATCAGAATTTGAGCTCTGTTAGCAGCAAAGACAGACTTGGAAAAAAAATGAGGGGTGAAGGCTCCATTATGCCCAAATGCTTTCTATCCTGACTAAGAGCTGCCTTCAGAAATAGATTCCTCTCTGAAATTATTGAGATCCTTGCCAATGTTAGTGGTTAAAATTGAACTTCACCTGTTAAATGTATAATGTCACTTTCAGTCCGCAAAAGCAGGGAAAACAATCTATAGTATGTGTTTAATACTGAAAAAAACCATATAGTGGGTGTTTAATACTATTATATTTTTAAAAGTTTATTTTAAAAAGATATTTTGGCAGGTTGTTAAATCCTAGCAGTTTTCAAAGTAATCTTGAGAAGCTACTGCCTTGCAGGAGACATGTCCACTTTGTCAAAGCAGAAGTATTTTATTTCAATGAGTCTGTTATACCTAATGCTCAGTCTGCAAAATTGAGTTTTCTGAGAGTTCTAAGTTCTAAACTTCTACTAGCAGAACTTCCATATCTTGAAATAGGAGATACTGAAATGTGTAAGGTTAGCATTATTTATGCAGACTTGATAATTCCACTTAATAAGCAGTATGAACATAAAAGTCATACAGAAAGCCCAATTGCTTGTAATTCTATGACAGATAGTTTTTTGATAGTTGGCATTATGTGGACAAATACCACCACCTTTTTATGAGCCAATAAAATTTGGCAACAATTATTCATGCCTTGGTTATTTCCTTTTTTTTTATTACCCCAGTGCATTTGAGAGAGATTATACTTTATAAAAAGCATTTGGAAAGTGCAATTGGTGAAAAGTACAGTGGTTAGGTAAGCTTAATACAGATTCTCCTCTCTTTTTTGGAACTACCTTAGTGACTGTTTGTAAACATTTTGGTAATAAATGGCAAACACTAAATACTGTCATATGTTCACTAGAATGGAACTCAGTCAATAAGCAAGGAATTTAATTGCAAGAAAGGGTGATCTTGGGATGCCAATGCTGAAAGGCTAGTGCTGAGCACAGTTTAAAGTGTGGCTATTGATTTTTAAAAATTTTAAATGACTTGGGTCTAAGAGGGAAGACCTTTCCCAGTGTACATCTGTCCAGGTGTTAAGACTAAATAAAGAAATATCTCTGAAGATTATAAGAGCACACTGTCTGACAAACAGAAATGTGTTATGTGGATTCTGGGCTATGAAATGCCTGCAGAGCATTATGTCCAGTTCCTACACTTTTTTCACCGTGGCACGACAAAACCACGCTACGCAAAATAGCGGAGATTAAATCGCGTCGCTAAAGCCGCGACGTCATCACCACGCGTCATCACCACCGTGACAACAGCGCGGCGACAGAAGGGCATTCTACATGCTTCGTTCTTTGCTTCCAAAGGTAGCCCTCCTTCTCCAGCTGACAGCGGCAGCGGGCACGGGGCAAAGGGGGCGGGAAGGGTCCAGCACAGCCGCAGGGGACAGCAAGAAGCCTGCGGGAGGGCTGAGTGGGGCTGCCGACGCCAGTGGCGGAGGAGGACGCAGCAGCAGCGGCGGCGGAGGCTCTCCCAGGGCCGGCGAAGCAGGCTTGCCCAGCGGGGGCAGGCCGCCCTCTTCTTCCTCAACAACATCTCCTTGGACGG